TACTTATGACCCCAACTTTCACTCCCTAAGTCCTCAAAGTAGGCTAGAAGTAGACTGGTAGTTGCGGCAATAAGTACCCATGAACCAAGTAGACCCTGGACTCGGGATGTTCCCCCCCCTACACAGTCCTTAGTAGGGACTCTAGGACCCCCAATCAGGGGGAACATCCCAACCAGTAACCCTAAACCCTAAACCCTAAACCCTAAACCCTAAACCCTAAACCCTAAACCCTAAACCCTAAACCCTAAACCCTAAACCCTAAACCCTAAACCCTAAACCCTAGCTCGCACCTTCAGAGGCTCAGCCACCAGGGGGACTGGGACGAGTTCTGAGCCAAGCCGAGTCGCGCCAACGAGTTCGGGCGGCGGTGGGGGGGGGGGGGGGGGCATTCAGCCAAGCCAGGCTTAGGGTTAGGTTTAGGGTTTAGGTTTTAGTTTAGGGTTTTAGGGTTTAGGGGTTTAGGGGTTTTTAGGGTTTAGGGTTTAGGGTTTAGGGTTTAGGGTTAGGGTAGGGTTTAGGGTTTAGTAGTTTTTTTTTTTTTGTTGGGCGGGGGGGGGGGGTTTGGGTGTTTGGGAAAATTTTAGGGCTTAGGCAGTTTAGGGTTTCCGGCTCTTAAACCCTCAGCCCTATTCGGGTTCAGGGTTCAGGGGTCTGCTAAATTTTGTGGAGGGCTTTGGCGTCAGGGCCTGTGGCCCCTCGAAGAGTAGGGTTTAGGAGTCTGGGTTTAGGGTTTAGGGTTTAGGGTTTAGGGTTTAGGGTTTAGGGTTTAGGGTTTAGGGTTTAGGGTTTAGGGTTTAGGGTTTAGGGTTTAGGGTTTAGGGTTAGGGTTTCTCTAAATTAAGTTCCCTTCTTGGGTCCCTTTGGTCCCTCTACGGCACCTTATGAAAGCAGGATCATTGACCTTTTAGCCCCAAACCCTCAACGATAAACCCTAACTCAACATACTACCCATAAACCCACCTAAAGCCCTAAAGCCCTAAAGCCCTAAACCCTAAACCCTAAACCCTAAACCCTAAACCCTAATTTAGAGAACTACCCATACACCCCTGGCACCCTGGAGTCCAGACGTGAGTTTAGGGTCTAGGGGTGTGCAGAGTTTGGGGGTTTAGGGTTAGGGGGTTTAGGGTGCAGTTAGGGCTTAGGGTTAGGGGGTTTGGGTTTCGGGGTGTAGGGCCTTGAGGGTTTTCGGGCTTCGGGTTCCTAAGCCCTCCACACGCCCTATGAACCCGAAATAGCCCCCACACCCCCCCCCCCCCCCCCGCAAACCGGAAACCCAGCCTTGTTTCCCCCAGCGCCCTGCTTCAACGCGGGTGTCGTGGTGAAACTCCTACGTGCTTGGGGATCACTGGGCCCGCAAGCTTGCCATCCAGAGGTTCTTACCCTAAACCCAAACCCTGCGTTTTATGGTTTCGGCTTAGCCCTACACCCAAAAAATCTCAACTCCTTAATCCCCGTGGAGAGGGTTCATGGCTCAGGGTTTTAGGGTTTAGGGCTTTAGGGTTTAGGGTTTTGCGTGGGTGGTGGGGATGGCATTTGCCTACTTTATGCCATAAGGCTGGGCTGCACGCTACCAAGACTGTACTCAAGGCACGGTGAGGGAGGTGTCTAGGGAGGTGGTGTAGTCCCCAACCCTAAAAACCCTAAAAGTTTAGGGCTTTGGGTCTCTAGGGCCTGTTAAAGAAGGGGCTTACTGTAGGGTCGAGGATGCCGTTGGCTTGGGTGCCACGTGGCCCACTGAAAACCTGGAACTCCACCGGCCCGAGTTTCATGGGTTCCCCTACTACGCCCCCTTGGTTCCCCCCTTAAATAGCTAAATAGCCTTAATTATGGGGGGGGGGGGGGGAACCTAAGGGGGGGGTAGTATAGAGGGGGGTAGTAGGGGAACCCATGATAGTTGGCCAGAATAATGCCAGGTCTCCATCTGGCCAGCCTTCGCGCACCGTGGTGGCTTGAAGTTGAGGGCCCTAAACCTCGTATATTCCAGGCTGGCCGCCTTTAAAATCCCTCTGAAAAAAGACTCCTTACAGCCCAAAACCCTAAACCCTAAACCCTAGACTCTAAACCCTAAACCCTAGACCCTAAACCCTAAACCCGAGACCCTAAACCCTAAACCCTAAACCCGTAAACCCTAAACCCTAGCCCTAAACCCTAAACCCAAGAAGGGTAAGTATAAAACATGCCAAAAGGCCCTCCCTAGAAATGCTCGGACCTAAAAAACCACTCCCTGGGCTCCATGCACCTATCGTATACACCTGGGCCCTAGTTTAGGGTTTAGGGTTAGGGTTTAGGGTTTAGGGTGTAGGGTTTAGGGTTTAGGGTTTAGGGTTTTTTGGTAGAACCCCTGTGCCCTGTACCCATGGGTTTGGGGTTTGGGGTTTCGGGTTTAGGGTTTGGGGTTTAGGGCTTGGGGTTTAGGGTTTCAGGGTACGTATGACCCTACTTTTAAGTACCCATGAAGCTTCAAGAAAAGGCTGGCACTGAGAGGCGACGCTGGGGTCTCCCTACCCTTGCAGGAGGAGCGCCAGGGAAGGTACCACGCTCCCACCACTTCGCCACTTGGGAGGGGGGTGTTCTAAACCCCTGATTAGGGTTTTAGGGTTTAGGGTTTAGGATTAGGGCTTAGGGTTAAGCATGAGGCTCCCGTGGCAGGCCTTTCGAGGCTCGAAGTGTCTCTGGCGTCGGACGTGCAGTGGCGTCTGGCTTCGCTCAAAGAGCTGTGACACTCCAAAAGGATAATTCGCTAGACCCAGGAGTAACCAAGGAATAAAAACGATGCCCTTTTTGGTTTTAAAGGGGGTTACAAGGGAACCTAAGGGCCTACTCTGGGTCTGTAGCCACGGGAACAACTAGGGAACCCATTTCCTGCAGCCGATACACGGAAACCCAACCAATGGCACATGGGTATTTCCGGGGGTTCCCCTCTTAGACCCCAGATAGAATGCAAATACCCTTAAAAAGGACCGCCCAAAAAGGGGACCCGCCATTTTCGGAAACCTAACCCCTGATGGAACAAACAAAAGTTTTAGAACCTAGAATGGCAACTATACCGCCACAGACTAGGGCTTCGGGCCCAAAAAGGTTCGCTGCTTTGGTGGGGGAGGGGGGGGGGGGGCGGTGTGGAATCGGGGCGGGGCTGGGGTTGACAGCTATAAGCTTCTAGACCCGAAACCGCCTGAAACGCCACCTCACACCCGATTCGAAACAAATTCAACCAAAAAACGATAACACAACAAAAACGAAGAGACGCCTAAAACAACACCTATATGAAGACGCGCAACAAACCCTAAAAAAAGGGACCTTAAAGCCCAGAGGCTTGAACTGGGCGGCCGAAACGCTCGCGGCCCCTTCAAACTAAGGGGCCGCCCTTCAGAAAGAAGATCGGAGTTGTGCTTTAGGGTTTAGGGTTTAGGGTTTAGGGTTTAAACCCTTTGAGAAGTATTTATGAATAGTTTCCCGGTATAACTAAAGAAGGGAGATTGAAAAATCTCCCAAAGCACAACCCAGAGATGGGCCTTTGCAGCCAACCTGCACCCGGCGACGCGATGCAGGCTTTCGGGTGGGGTAATTTAAGAGCTTCCGGCTCTCCACAAGCCGAAACACAAAATGGCTAGACCCTAAAAGCCCTACCTGCTTGAATTATAGCTGTACCCGGAAGCCCCAGGTCCTCTAAGTAGGTTACAACTAGACATATAGTTGGGGTTCTAGGTACCCATGAACCTCCAAGTTGTTGTTGAAGCCTCGGAGCTTTTCAGGGTTCAGGTACTGCCGTGTTAGGAGGTTCCAAAGCCCCCCCCCCCCCCCCCCAAAAAAAAAAAAAAGCTAAACGCCGTCAAAACGTTCTAGGTCTCAGGCCCCCTAACACCCCTGAACAAACGCAAAGCCCATCATGAAAACACCTCAAAAAACCCGCCAAACACCACAAACCCCTCGCGGCCTCAGACGCACCAAACACCCCCGAACCCAGGAAGACCGCCTGACAACAGTCGGAGAGGCGATCTTCCATGATTTTCAGGTTTAGGATTTAGGGTTTAGGGTTTAGGGTTTAGGGGTGTAGGGCTTCTCTCACCCCGGGTAGCCCCACCTCGGCAACCAGGAGCTCGATGCAGCAACGGGGTAGCGCAGTGAACCCTGAGCCCTTGAGCCCTATAGAGCTCGAAACACTTAACCCTAGGCCCTAAACCCTAACCCTAAACCCTAAACCCTAAACCCTAAACCCTTAACCTCCAGCCCTCGAGCCCTAACCCTAAACCCGAAGCCCCCGAGTTTAAGGTGGGGCCCTCCCTGTACTTGCACCACTCAGCCCTTGGAGGTTCATGGTACTGAATAACCCAACTCTAACTGTACTTATAACCCACTTGTAACCATATGAGGATACTGAGAGGGCTTGTAAGAGGGTAAAATGAACAGTTATAACTGGGGTTATCAGGACCCTGGACCTCCAAGCAACCAAAACCAAAGCCGAAGTACGGAGTTTGGGGGAGTTTGGGTTTTAGGGTTTAGGGTTTAGGGTTTAGGGTTTAGGGTTTAGGGTTTAGGGTTTAGGGTTTAGGGTTTAGGGTTTAGGGTTTAGGGTTTAGGGTTTAGGGTTTAGGGAGGGTTAGGGGTTTAGGGGTTTTAGGATGTCTAGGGTTTGGGAGAGTTCCGAGACCCCGGAGTAACCCAGGAATAAACCATGGCGCCCTTTTTGGTTTAAAGGGGGCTGTAAGGAAACCTAAGCCCTAAAAAAGGGGGAATAGGGCCTATTCCGGGTCCTAGGAACCCCAAACCCTAAACCCTAAACCCCAAACCCTAAACCCTAAACCCTAAATCCTAAACCCTAAATGGGACTATCAGATGTTTTGGGGGTTGTTGGACTTGTGGGAGTTGGGATGTAGGACTTAAGGGGCTTACAGGGATTTAGGGTCGAGGTAGAGTCTACACCCTAAAAACCCTAAACCCTAAACCCTAAACCCTAAACCCTGGAAACTCCGAAGAAAAAAGCCCCCAAGCTCCCTCAGGGCCTATAGGGACTCCGTGCCCTGGCAGCACGCGGCATGCGGAGGTCCAGGGATTCATGGCGAAGTGTTTAGGGTTTAGGGTTTAGGGTTTAGGGTTTAGGGTTTAGGCTTTAGGGTTTAGGGTTTAGGGTTAGTGTGTATAGGGTTTAGGGTTTAGAGATCACAGAGGTGGTTGGGGAGGTTCGGGTTAAGGTTTAGGGCTCGGGGCTTCCGGGCTTTTGGGTTCCTAGACCCAAAAACCTCTACCTTAAGAACCCCAAACCTACTTTTTTGTAGGTTATTACTATAAATCCCCTTATAGGATTCTTAGGACACCTACAAAATAGGAGGTTTTGGGCTCTTAAGGTAGGATTCAATATCTTGGAGGCCTGCCCGTCCTTGAGCAATATTCTTAAACGTGTTAGGCCTCTCTGAGCCCTCAGACGCCTGAATCTCAAGCCCTAAACCCTAAACCCTAAACCCTCAACCCTAAACCCTAACCCGAGACCTTGAAACCTAAACCCCCCAGACAAACACAAAGTCAACCGCCTCATGCGCCCCGGACACGAAGTGAATCCCCCTATTGGCCAAGACCACAACGCGGAAAATGGCCTGCGTTGTTGCGCCGCCTTCAGGGATGCCGTTTTTGTGAGGTGCGGGTCTTGCCCAAGATAGGGGACCCTATGTTAAACAGTTTAAGGTTCAGGGTTTGAGGCTGAGGGTTTCATGCAAAACGCCGCCCGAAAAGGGAACCCTGAAACGCAGGGTCGGGGATTCCATCAGTCAAAGTTGCGCTGTCGACCCTAACCCTGAATGCCCATACCCTAACCCCTAAACCCCAAATCTGTTGGTTGCCCCCGTTTAGGGCTTGCCGAGAAGCAATCAATCCCGCCCCCGGCTTGCCTCGTGCGTCGCATGACGGGTTCTCCGCATCCTTGGCGGAAGAGTAGGTTTAGGGTTTAGGGTTTAGGGTTGAGGGTTGAGGGTTGAGGGTTTAGGGTTTCAGGCCCCTGAATCCTAAACCTTACACCGTTCGGCAAGGGGTCCAAGGCTTTAGGGCCTTTAGGGCATAAGAATCAGCATTGAGGATCTAGGCTGTGGGGCTGCGGGGTAAGGGTTCAGAGTTGAGGTTTGGGGAAGAGCGAGAAAGAAGAAAGCAAAGAAAGTAATAAAGAACGAAAGGAAGAAAAATAAAGAAATAAATAAAACAAAACGAAGTAAAGAAATAAAAAAAGAAAGGCAGGAAGAAATTATGAAAGACAGAAAGACAGAAAGAGGGGGCTTAGGATTTAGGAGAGGGACGGATGGCATCCGGAAATGGACTTCGTACCTTCCTTAATAGGAATTATAGAATTATAGTAGTAGAGGGTATATTCCCCCCCCCCCCCCCTTCGGGTTCATTTCGTCCCTAAACCCTAAACCCTAAACCCTCATATCCGTGGACGCGAAGGCCGCCGACGCGCCCCACCGGCCGGTGGTTTGGGGTTTAGGCTCCTTTTGGGTTTAGGGTTTAGGGCTTAGGGGTTTAGGGTTTGGGGTTTAGGGTTTAACGTTTAGGGTTCAGGGTTGAGGGCTTAGGGTTCGGGGTTTGGGTTTAGGGCTTCGGGTTTAGGGACTCTTTCAGTATCCTGCGCGAACCCGACCTCCTCATTCCCAGGGAGGGCGGGGGAGCTTCTGCACTGACACCAAGTTGGATCCAACGACCCCCTCTTAGGGTTTAGGGTTTAGGGTTTAGGGAAACTCCGCCCACCACCGAAGATGAAGAGTTCACCCGAAGCCCTAAACCCTAAACCATGAAACCGCCAGGGGCACCCTCAGAACCTGCGAAGAATGGAACCCCGAAGCGCCCTAAAACCCGAAACCCTGAGATCGAGTGAGCGCGCATGAAAATCCCACAAACCCTAAACCCTAAACCCTAAACCCTAAACCCTAAACCCTAAACCCTAAACCCTAAACCCTAAACCCGAGCGCGACAAGACCGTGGAAGCCCCTCAGCCAGGCGCAGTTTTAGATCACCCCCGTTCTGAGATCATCCCTTTATAGGGGATAGGATTAGGGGGACCCTTGGGGATATAGACCCTCTGAATAAGGTCCCTGTTTAAGAGAGCCAGAAGAGGGTTAAGAAGGGGTTCCCTTTTAAGGGTCCCCCTTATCCTACCTAGGACTTTAGGACCCCTTGCATGGATGCACAACACATTCTACTCAAACCCGACAATCCTAAGGTTTAGGACTTAGGGTTTAGGGTTCGGGGTTCCCGGGCTTAGGGTGCCTAAACCCTAAACCCTAAACCCTAAACCCTAAACCCTAAACCCTAAACCCTAAACCCTAAACCCAAAACCCTAAACCCTAAACCCTTGAAACCCCAAACATCCCAAGGCCGTGGCAATCTCGGGGCGCCCTCGGGTCAGAACAGCCAGACGGGAGGCCTTGGGCAACACTTTGGGGCTTAGGGGTCTAGGGCACAAGGGTTTAAGGCGCTCAGGCTCGGGTTTGGGTTTAGGGTTTAGGGTTTAGGGTTTAGGGTTTAGGGTTTAGGGTTTAGGGTTTAGGGTTTAGGGTTTAGGGTTTAGGGTTTAGGGTATTAGGGTTTAGGGTTTAGGGTTTAGGGTTTAGGGTTTAGGGTTTAGGGTTTAGGGTTTAGGGTTTAGGGTTTAGGGTTTAGGAGGGTTTAGGGTTTAGGGTTTAGGGCTTGGGGTTATTGTGGTGCTGGGTTTAGGGTTTGGGGCACGGAGCCCTAGTCCTAGTAGGGTGGAGGGTTCACGGCTGTTCAAAGGAAGGCTTCAGAGTTGTGTCGGGTTTTCGTTAGTGTGTGCAGCTGGTAATTGTCTGTATCAAAATAAGGGCACCCTGTTTGGGTTGGTTCCTGTATCAGGGAACCTAGAACCAGAAAAGGGTAAACGGGCACCACTGGGCTACCGACAGTTGCCTTAAATCCTGACCCACTATTCGCTGAAGAACCACCCCACGAAAACACAGAACACATTTTCCCTTATAGGGGCCCTGTAGGGATTAGCATTCTTTATCATAAGCAAAACAAGTTCATATTACCTTAATCGGAATTCTAGTAGTATAGGGTCTTATAGGGATTAGTATTCAGCATAGCCCGTGATCTTTTCGGGGGGGGCAGGGTGGGGTCTTAAACCCCAAACCCTAAACCCCAAACCCCAAATCCTAAACCCTAACCCTAAACCCTACACCCGAATCCCCCGAGAATTCCTGAGGAGCTTGCACGGGGGTCGTCCACAGTCGTCGGCCTCGGCTGTTTCCGGGTTGAGGATTCAACATCTGCAGCTTTCAGGGTTTCAAAACCGCCCTAAACCCTAAACCTTAAACTACCCTGAACCCTAAATCTATAAACCCTAAACCAGAGCAGCAGTTCTTGTCTTGAGGTTTCATAGGGCGGACCGTAAACCTCTTAGCCCACATAAGTCCCTAAACCCTAAACCCTAACCCCCTAAGCCCACATAAGCCCTAAACCTAAAACATCACGGTAGGAGACAGCAGTCCGTAGCCTCCTGTATCTAAGCAAAGCTTGAAAGGTTTCGGGTTTAGGGTTTGGGGTTTGGGGGTGGGGGTTTACAGTTTAGGGTTTTTGGGTTTAGGGTTTATGGTTTAGGGCAGTTTAGGGTTTGTTCGGGGATGGAAAGTTATGGTGTGACTGATTGAGGATTGAGGTTTGTGGGATCAAGTAAGTGATTCTAGGGTTTCCAGCGATGCCCTACACTTGCCTTAGACGCACAAACTACCTGGTTCCCCATCAACCTAGGGGAACGCTGAGGCTATAAGGTAGCCTTCGATGGGAACCTCCCCCCAAACAAATTGACACAGAAGGGCCGCGCCACGGGCCTAAGCTAACCCCTTCAAACCTTAAAACCCCAGCTCCCAAAATCCTATTCCCCCAGTAGCCCAGTAACCATATTAGAATAAGGGCACCTTTTTGGGGGTTGGCTACTTTCTAAGGAAAGCCATAAACAAAAAAAGGGAAAAGGGTACCACTGGGCTACCCAGACCCTAAACCTTACGCCCCAAAGCATCCCATCTGTCTGCCAGGCCACAAAGGCAGCAGCGGAGGGGCGGTGATGTAGCCGTGGTCCGTCTGAACCTGCTGCAGGTGCCAGGGCTGCTGGGGGGGGGGGGTGGGTGTTCGCCAAAACCCTAAGCCCAAAGGAGTTAGGAGTCCGGTGAGAGAAAGAAGGGTTTGGGTTCCGGCCCTTTGGCTGAGGCTAAGAGAGTTGGTTTGACAAGGCACTGTCGAGAGCACACGCGTCTGGAGACCGCACCTCATCCAAGTCACGCTGGTTGTCGCGCGTACGTGCGGCGCACCCACAGATCGGAATCCGTGTCGGGCCAGCACTCTGCGGCTTCGTTCCAGCTGCAGTCCTGACCCACTCAGCGTGCGAAAGGACCAGCGTCCTTGAGTCGGACTGTGCCCCCGAGATTCGCTGGTTGTCGCACGTACGTTCGGGGTTGCCAGAGATCAGAATCCGTGTCGGGCCAGAAATCTTCCTGCAAGCCATGCAATAGATCTCCGCGTCATCTAGTCCCAAGAGTAACCTAGGAATACACAGGGGTGCCCTTGTTTTGGCTTATTAGGGAACCAAAACCCTACGAAAAGGGAATAAGGGCTGGGCCTTTCGGGCTTGGGAAGTTTAGGCTATCCCCCCATATATACCCTTTAAGGGATGCTCATAAGAACCAGCCAGCCATGTCTAGCCCTAAACCCGAGGGTTAGGGTTTAGGGCTTCGGTTTGGGACAGCGGGCTATCCGCTGCCTGCAGCAACCGCCCGCATGCCAATTGCACAGCTTCAGCCAGCAACATGAAGCCCTAACCCCTAACCCCCAAACCCTAAACCCTGAACCCTAGCCCCGAAACCCCAAACCCTTAACCCTATAACCCTAAACCACTTCCTGCCGCGGATCAGGCCAGTCTTTTCGCCTTAAGCGCTTTCAGTACCCGAGCGCTTAACACGGCCAACGCCGCCATCAAGCTGAGAGTCGCGCGCTACTACTATTTGCTGAAGAACCCCAAAAGAATAAAAAGTAATACTCCCTATACCCTTAATAATGAAGAATACTTTAAGACCCCCAAAGAATAAAAAGTAATACCCCCTACATTACCCTGAATAAGGAATAGTACTTTGATTTTTTTTATTTTTTCGGGGTTCTTCAGCAATTAGTAGGCTATAATCACGTGTCTTCAGCACTTTCGAGTCCTTCGTTTGGGAGTCAAGAGCTTGGGGTAGCGAAGCCTGCCTGCTCTTGCCCGAATCTCAAGTTCCAATCACCAGAGAGGTTTAGGGTTTAGGGTTTAGGGTTTAGGGTTTAGGGTTTAGGGTTCAGGGTTTAGGGGTTCACGTACAAGGGCAGGGCTTAGGTTTAGGAATTATAGGTACTACAGGCCACTTTCAACCCCACGCATAGCTACCCAGTCGCCATGCTGAGGGGGAGCACATAACTACCCGGCTTGTCAGGCCCCAAACCCGAAACCCTAAACCCTAAAAGCTATAAACTGTAAACCCTAAACCCAAAACCCTAAACCCCTATCTGACCGCACCCCCGCATGTCGGGTCTGGAGTCTATAGGGTTTGCAACGACAAACCCATACCCTAAACCCTTATCAATCCTAAACCCTAAGCCCTAAGCCCTAAACCCTAAACCCTTATGAATCCTCCTTGTAACAACCCGTTGACGCCCTGTGAACCTGGCCTGAAGGCAAAGGACCTGGCAGGCTAGCCGGGTCTAGGGCTTCGGGTTCAGGGGGTTAGGGTTTAGAGGCTTCGGGGTGTAGGCTTTCAGGTTTACGGTTTTGGGGGTTAAGGCGGGTATAGGGGTTTAGGGGTTTAGGGCTGCAGGGTTTTCCGGGTTAGGGCGGGGGTTTGGGGTTTGCCCGTCTCCAATTGGGTCAGTTGGAAGGGGTGCCAAAAGGGAAAATCCTTTATTTCAAATTAGCAACCCTCATCCTCGACCTAGAAGCAGGCAACACCCCAAAGTTCCGGGGCGCCGCGACGGGGCACATCAGAACATGTTTGCAATCTGCCCTGAGTCCGATAAGTGCAGGTTTAGGGTTGGGCATTTCAAGGGGCTTAGGGGCATCGGGTTTAGAGTCTAGGAGCGTAGGAACCTAGTTTCTTGAACCAGTGGACAAGCCCAAAACCTGATGAAGCAAGCTCCCGACAAGCACTGCAAACAATCACTTCGCGCTGAACCCCCCAACCCTGATCGCCCTCAACCCCTAAGCAACAGATGTGGTCTAACGGATAGTAGCTATACTAGGATGGCCCGGCAAAAAAACCCAAATATGATCCTCCTCTTCAACCCCCAGCAAGAGAACACATACAAGATCCCGCCCACTTCAATCCCAAGAAGAGAACATGTACGCATCCCAAAGGGCCTACTTTGGAGGTTCATGGTACTTACTAACCAAGTAGAACTGTACTTATTGACTGTACTTATAACCATATTCGTGCACTTAAGGGGCTGAAAAGTGGGCTATAAGTACAGATATAATTGGTTCATACGTGCCATGAACCTCCAAGTCCCGGCCTACCGACTCAACAACCCAGAAGCCCCAATCTGCGCCCGGGCGACCGTTCGGCCCATTTGGATTGAGACGGAGCTGCCAGGCCTGGTTTAGGGTGGGAAGGGCTTGAGGGTCCTAAATTCGATGAAAGCCCGAAAGCCTAAACCCTAAACCCTAAACCCGAAATCCCTAACCCAGTTTGGGGGTTTTAGGGGGGTTGCTACCCAGGAGTACGCAAACCCTGGCCCCCTTGCACTCGTGCGGTTGAGGGTTTAGGGCTAGGATTTGGGGTTTAGGGCAAGTGTTTAGGGTTTAGGGCTCAGGATTCCTGACCTGTAGATTGAAAGGCCACGCCTAAGCATGAAGTACGAGGAATGATGAAGCACGAGGAAGCACTTCAAAGTCGTAGGAAAAACGAGGTTCGGAAAGTAGGACTTCAGGGTTGATCCTATAAACCCCACAAGGCAGGGCCAAGGTTGCGACTCGAGCTGCCGGGGCTTCTTCATGGCCACCAGCGTTCCGAACTTGCTGTCGTTGTCCTGACGGAATGTGTGGACGGTTTAGGGTTCAGGGGTTCAGGGGTTCAGGGGTTGAGGGGTTGGGCGGTTGGGGGTCTAGGGGTTTAGGGGTCTAGGGGTTTATATGGGGTTTAGGGGTTTAGGGTTTAGGATGGTTTAGGGCTCGGGGACGGTTTAGGGGTTTCGGGACGGTTCAGGGTTTAGGGACGATTTAGGGTTTGGGGGCTTGATTGAGGTAGGTAGATGGGGTTTAGGGGTTTACGGCTTTGGGGGAGATGGGGGTATTTCCGGTGTAGGTTTTGGTTTAGAGGTTTAGGGTTTAACGTTTAGGGGATTTACGGGGGTAGATGAAGTGTAGGGAGTGGAGCTCAGGGTTTGGGGTTTGGGGTTTCAGGTTCGATGCAAGAGTTGTTGCTTCAGGTCTCGATTCCCCAACTAAACCCTGAAAACCCTACAAACTAAACTACCCCCCGAAAACCCAAAACCCCAAAAAGTCCAACAACGCTAAACCCCAAAATCCCAAAACCCTCAAACCCCACAACCCCCAGTGCCCCTGAACCCCGAAACCCGCCTAAACCCTAAACCCTGAACCTTAAAATCTAAACCCTAAACCCCCAATCCCAGCCTCCAACAGAAAGTTGCCCTGGCTGAAGCGGATCATCGCGTGGCAGCCTCGGCGGCTCGAAGCTTTACAAGCAAACCCTAAACCCTAAACCCTAAACCCTAAACCCTAAACCCCAAACCCCAAACCCTAAACCCACCCTGCACAAGGGTTCCCGGCGCGAGATGGAGACGTCGGCGATGCGGACGTCGCTGTCGTGGCCACGTCCCAGCTTCAGAACCTGCTGGTTGAGAGGTTGGAGAAGGCCATTCGGTTTGGGGTTTAGGGTTTAGGGCTAGGCTTTAGGGTTTAGGGTTTAGGGTTTAGGGTTTAGGGTTTAGGGTTTAGGGTTTAGGGTTTAGGGTTTAGGGTTTAGGGTTTAGGGTTTAGGGTTTAGGGTTTAGGGTTTAGGGTTTCGGGTTTCGGGTTTCGGGTTTCGGGTTTAGGGCTAGGGTTTAGGGTTAGAACCTGCGGTTTGAGAGGCTTAGGGCCCGACTTCTAGGGCTCAGGGATTTGGGGGTTTAGGGTTTAGGGTTTAGGGTCTATTTGGTTTCAGGGATTTGGAGGTTTAGGGTGTTTTAGGTATTAGGTTTTAGGGCTTTAGGTGTTGGGTTGTGTGTGTGTGTGTGTCTGTGAGTTTTTTACGGTTTTGGGGTTGAGGGTTTTGGCACCAAAGGGTCCTTGCTTTTTGTACCCTGTAAACTCCATAAACCCTATATGGGCATTGTTCTACATGTACGACAGGGCCTTCCGCTCGCGCTTCCGCGGCTTCCGCGCACGTGAGGAGCCGGAATGATTTTTCGGGGCCCGAGAAAAACATTTCGCCATTTCGCCACCCCAAGCCCTGCCTGAACCCCCCCCCCCCCGGCTTTCACTTGCTTGAAAGAAGGACAAGCCGGAATGTTTTTTGGGGGGCCTGGAAAAATCATTTCCCCATTTCCCCCCCCCCCCCCTACCTGACCCCCCCATGTGGCTCCAGATGTGGCTCCAGATGTGGCTCCAGATGTAGGTCCGCGCCCGGAGCTTCCGCTCGCACTTCCGCGGCGTCCGCGCCCGAGGAAAAAACCATGCTTTCTGAAAACCCAGCCCACGTGAAATGGAGCCACAAGAGAAGGGGGTTTAGAACAATACCCATATACCCTCTATAAACCCTATAAGCCTTGTACACTCTTAATCTTAAGTCCCGGAACTCCTCAAATCAAAAACGAATGGGAGTTTGTTTCCGATAATGGGGTACCCTTTTGGAGGGGTTTCCTATAATAATTAAGGGTTTATGGGCTCTAAACCCTCAACCCTAACCCTAAACCGTAAACCCTCAACCCTCAACCCTCAACCCTCAACCCTAAACCCTAAACCCTAAACCCCAAACCGAATCGCCTTCTCCGCCAGGGAGATCACGTGCAGGCCTCGTGTGGCGTGCTGCTGGGAGTCTCTCACCTTTCGGCCCCAGGGATGCAGATTGTGCAGTGTTTAGGGTTTAGGGTTTAGGGTTTAGGGTTTAGGGTTTAGTTTAGGGTTTAGGGTTTCGGGTTTAGGGTGTGGGACAGAAGGTCGAACAACTGATACAGATGGAGTTTTTCATTCAGGGGTTCAGGGGTTTTGGGGCATCGGATTTCGGAGTGTAGGATCCTCGGGTGTAGGATATGGCCGCTTCTTCTGTTTTCCTTTGGAAAAGCCCTTTGGAAAATTACACTCAAGGGTAATAACCCTAAACCCTAAACCCTAAACCGGGCAAAAACTCAACCCATGGGGGCCTCAGGGTTATCGGGTGCAGGATACCAAGACTCTATAAACCCTAAATCCTAGGTCTTGGCAGGAGCTGGGCGTTTCGGGCTTCGGGGTTCTTGAGGGGTTCCCAAGCCTGTATACTATTTCGGCTTGAAGGCTAAGGGCCGGAAGTCCTAATGCAAAAGATATCACGAAACCCTATCAACCCCCTCGCCAAGAAAAAACACTAACAGAACAAACACCAGAAAACGCTAGGCGCTGTCGCCCGCCCAAAGGCGAATGCAACAGTTGCGACATGCGCGTAGCAGCTGGAGAAAGACATCTTCGACGAAGTCCTCTGACTCATTGCGTCGCACAAGCATTTCCTGCCCAACCACAACTCAGGACTTGTGCGCAGCATCGCATTGCAGCGGAAGTGCCACCGGTGGCCCGCTGAAAAATTGGGACGTCCTCGGCTCGTCTTTGCCAGCCAGAGGCCCTTTGACAAGTTGGCTCCCCATGCGAAGCAGTCTCACCAAACGTCTGGCAACCCTTAAAAAACCCGAAATCTCGAGAACCCTCAGGCCTTTCGGCTGTTAAGCCCAAAATGCACCTTTCTTCCATTTAAGCCCTGAACCCTGCATTCTAAAGCTTTTCAGCCTCTGAGCCCTAAACCCGACATTTAAAGGCCTAAACCCTTTCAGCCACTAAACCCTGAAGGCCTGAACCCAAACCCTGCTTCCGAGGCGTCCACCAGGTTCTCGAGCACAATGAAAGGTGGCGTTGTTCGCGGCACCTGTTTGAGAGGTCAGTAAGGGTTTGGGGGGTTGTTGGCCTAGGAAGCGCACGGATGATGCCATGTTGTAGCTGACAGGCGCAGCGCAAGAAGACCTGAAACCGGGGAGGTGCCCGAATAAGAAGGGCTTAAAGTTAAGGCTCTTTAGGGGGGGTTAGGGTTTTAGGGTTTTGGTGGCCTTGTTTTGTTCATGGGGTTTGCAAGGGGATCTGAGAATACGGGTAAGTACTAGTAACCCGTCACTCAACCCCTGAACCCTCAACCCCCCCCCCAACGCCCCCCCCCACCCCCCTCCCCGGTGAGCCTCAACAAGAGGCATGCGGTCCTGTGCCATGTTCACATACGTAGGGTACGTAGCCTCGGCAGCATTCTGGTTGGTGAACTGGTCTCCGGTCGAATTTTGGGGTTCAGGGTTGTTTAGGGCGAAGGATAGCGTTTGGGGGTTTAAGGTTCCATCACGGATGATGTACGCACATTGGTGGACCGAACATATTCCTGGGTGAAGGCTTGTCCTTAGATTTTGAAGGGTTTAGGGTTTCATTTAGGGCCTCGGGACCTGGTTCTACTTCTTCAGCTAGCTTCCTCCAATGCACCATTGGCTTCTCGACACTTGCGTTTCCAAACAGAAGCAAGGTTGGAACCCGTCTGTCAAAGGGCTCTCAAGGGAGGAGGGGATTCAAGGGGGTTATGTAACCTAAGGTTCCCCACCACTCCCACTACTCCCTAAGCTGCCTTAAGTTTCCCTAGGTACCTACCCCCCCCCCCATGAACCCAACCTAAGAACCCTAAGAATTTTGTCACAGTGGTAGTGTAGAGATCCAGGTTGCCGACTCCTGCGTCCACTCCTTCTTAGATTCCCCAAAAAAAGGACACAATGAAACTAGACCCGCGAGGTTGCTAGGAATAAAAACGGTGCCCGTTTTTTTTGGGTGAAAGGGGGTCTTTACAGGGAACCTAAACCCTAAAAGAGGAGTAAGGGGCCTACTCTGGATCCTAGCCCTGAACCCTAAACTCCCTAAACCCTAAAAGAAAAGGAAATAGGGGCCTACTCTGGGCCCTGGGTCCCTCCACGGCCTCAGCCCCGCAGCATACCTCCTTCGCGGCCTTCTGACCTGACTCCTTTGGAACGCTCAATCTCCACCTCCTGGGCCGCGGCCTCCACCCTAAACCCTAAACCCTAAACCCTAAACCCTAAACCCGAATTCTGCACCCTCCACCCTAAACCCTAAACCCCAAACCCCAAACCCGCACCCTCAGAAGCCGAGATCCCTGAACCTCGAAACACTCCGTTCCTTGCAACGCACACGAAGGTCACTCTGGACTTCAGGCAAGGTCTTTGGGGCAAGACTGCGGGGAGTTGATCTTTAACCCTAAACCCTAATTAAACCCTAAACCCTAAACCCTAAACCTTAAATCCTAATTATGGGCTCTTCTTAGAACCCTCCAGGAGCTCAAAAGGAGTCCATAACCCCGATTTCAGAGCGCAGGTTTAATGTACTGGGGACCTAAGACCATCAAATTCAAAAGCTTCAAACCCCCCAAAACCCTAAGCCTAAACCCAAAGGTTTCAGACCGAAACCCTAAACCCTAAACCCTAAGCGCTGAACCCTAAACCCTAAACCCTAAACCCTAAACCCTAAACCCTAAACCCTAAACCCTAAACCCTAAACCCTAAACCCTAAACCCTAAACCCTAAACCCTAAACCCTAAACCCTAAACAAACCGTACAGCCACAGGCAGGGCGCGCACCTTGCAGAGCTCACAGGCTAAGGGTCGGTAGAAGTAGGAGCCTGGCGACCAACGGAATGCCTACTTGAAGGTACATTGGGTTTAGGGTTTAGGGTTTAGGGTTTAGGGTTTAGGGTTTAGGGTTTAGGGTTTAGGGTTTAGGGTTTGGATTTTATCCAGGAAAGCAACAGAACTCTCGTCAGACATCCTGGAGAGTGTCAAAAGTGGCAGAATGTGTTTGGATGTGCAAGGTGGGAAAAAGAGCTCCGCCCTAGTGTGTGGGGGGGGGGGGGCTGCCCATCCCTTAACCCCAAATCCCAAAACCCAGCAACAGAGAACTCGGAACTTGCACTTATCAACCCTACACACCCTACGAACCCTACAAACCCCAGAAATAATATCAAGCCAAGAACTCCTAGAAAGTTTGTCCCCGCGAAAAAACGCTGAACCTTCAACAGCTCACGTGACTTTAAAGCCCTTCTCTGAACCCTAAACCCTATAAACCTAAACCCTAAACCCTAAACCCTAAACCCTAAACCCTAAACCCTAAACCCTAAACCCTAAACCTAAACCCTAAACCCTAAACCCTAAACCCTAAACCGAAACCCTAAACCCTAAACTCTACACCGGCCTCCACTGGCCCCATCCGTGAGGTTCAGACGCCCTCGAATCCAGTATCGGAGGCATCCAAGGTGGACGTACCTCGGGAAATTGCGCGGGTCTAGGGTTTAGGGTTTAGGGTTTAGGGCTCAGCTTAGAGGGCTTAGTCAAGGTCTAGCCTCTTGGGCTTGCGCTCGTGGCATGAAAGGTCTGGAAACGTACCCCTGCACTTCCAGAAGGCCATATTGGGGCTTACGAAAATTAGGGACGCCTGGTATAGTCAACCGAATGGTAGGATTCCCTTAACATAAGGACCCCAATAGAACCCCAAAAAGGTGCCCCGAATTCCGGCAAACTCCATATGGAACCCTTATGTGGGCAAGAACATAGGTCCCTGAACCATAGGGGAACACCTTCTCCCTTGGCAGCAGCCGCTAAACCCTAAACCCTAAACCCTAAACCCTAAACCCTAAACCCTAAACCCTAAACCCTAAACCCTAAACCCTAAAGAACCCGAAACCCGGTAGCACTCGAGACCGAGGGAACCCGAGCAAACGGTGTCATCGGGAAGAGCTGCTGCAGAGCTGCTTCCAGAAAGCCGCACGTAACTCTGTGGGGAAGGACTCCGTAAGGCAAGGAAAAACAGCAACAGTGTTGAGACCTTTAATTCAACGAAAGCTGTTTCGAAGTCCGTCGATTTCAGGCCGTCAAAACAACCGAAGAGGAACAAGCACTGACGTGAAAACCAGCAAAGGTCATGCAGTCATGCACATACAATCCGACAAAAGCATTGAAAGAAACACATAGCATGCGTATGCAGACATGAACAACTTTGTCTTCTTGAACCCTATGCCTGGTCGATCACCAAACACATCCTGAAATTTCATTTGCAGCCCGCCGTTAGTCTCCTGCAAGCACAACGCGTCAAACTGCCCCCGCCAACTGCCCTCTATTGCTCTCGAGGTACCTGTTTGCATGAGTACTCTGGCGGGTAGTTGGGGGGGGTCTACTAAAGCTACTAGACCCAAGAGCAACCTAGGAATAAAAGGCCCTTTTTGGCTTGAAGGGGCTTATAAGGGAACCTAAACCCTAAGAAATGGGCATGAGGGCCTACTCCAGGCCCTAGTCTAGGATGTCTGCAGCACGTGATGAAGCATCCTCACTGTCAATGGCTCAGCATCAGGCTCAATCGATCCCTTGCACTGACATGGCGTGATCAGCGGATCCTCCTGTGGCGGTTTGGGCAGTTCTCTACATGCGGGTCCCTTTTTGGGGGGTCCTTCTTCTCGCCAAACCGGGACCCTAATGTGGAGAGTCTGCTTTAGAGTTGCAGACAGCGGGCTTGCTGCAGAGTTGCCTGTTGAAGATTTAGGTTTAGGGTTTAGGGCTTAGGGTTTAGGGTTTTTGGGCTGTGTATATGTGTGTGTGTGTTGGTTGTTTACGGCGTGAGGGTCATGGTTTCTGGTTCTTGAGGTTTTAGGGCGTTTCCTCTTGTACACCGACACGAAATTTCCGGACAGAACTACCAGACACACACACACACACACACACACGCACGCACGCACGCACGCACGCACACGCACGCACACGCACGCACCCGCACGCACGCACCCGCACGCACGCACACGCACGCACCCGCACGCACGCCGCACACACACACACACACACACACACACACACACCACACACACACACACACACACACACACACACACACAACACACACAACACACACACACACCACACACACACACACACACACACACCACACACACACACACACACACACACACACACACACACACACACACACACACACACACACACACACACACCACACACACACACACACCACACACACACACACACACCACACACACCACACACACCACACACACACACACACACACACACACACACACACACACACACACACACACACACACACACACACACACACACACACACACACACACACACACACACACACACACACACACACACACCACACACACACACACACACACACACACACACACACACACACCACACACAGAGAGAGCTAAAAAGTCCCGCGCTCAACCCCCCCCCCCCCCCCCCCCCGCCAAAGGCAAGCGGCAAACAGCAAGCGCGCCGGAATGAAGTGGGTTTAGGGAGGGTATAAGAGTGAACCAACTAGGATTTAGGGTGCAGGGATTAGGGTACGCCCACACACGCATCTCTAAACGATGAACCCTGAACCCTAATCCCTGAACACTCCCGAGTCTTTTAAGGGGTTGTTCTAAGTAGGTATAGGTTAGGGTGAAGCCATAGGGTATTCTGAGCGTGTTAACTTAGGCTATAAGCTGTGCCATACTGTTGTGTAGTATGGCACCACCCCCTGCGTGCGACCCAGGAAGGGGTGTCGGCGCGAACTTAAGTATTGCGGGGCATCGGCTCTTGGTGAGGGTTTAGGCGTTTGGGGTTTGGGGTTAGGGGTTTGGGGTTTAGGGTTTAGGGTTTAAGGTTTAGGGTTTGGGGTTTGAGGGTTTGGGGTTTGAGGGTTTAGGCCAAGCAGCCTTCAAGAAGGTAAACCCTACGAAGCCCTGTCCTCCGTCGACCCCTCGAGCAAGCAAATGCGGCACAGAGTGGACCTCAGTGCGAGGGTTTAGGGTTTAGGGTTTAGGGTTTAGGGTTTAGGGTTTAGGGTTTAGGGTGTAGGGTTTAGGGTTAGGGTTGAGGGTGTAGGAAAGCCGATCAACGGATCATTCTGAATTTCGATATACAGCCCTGGGGCAGTTGAGCCTGAAACCCTAAACCCTGAACCCTGAACCCTGAACCCTAAACCCTAAACCCTAAACCCTAAACAGGCATGCAGTCGCGCAGACCGGCCGCAAAACCTCAACCCAAAACCTCAAACCCCAAACCTTAAACCCTAAACCCTAAACCCCAAACCCTAAACCCTAAACCCTAAACCCTAAACCCTAACTTATACAGCGAAAGCCCCCAAAAGCTGACATCCCTATACCATCTAGGGCTTACCTTAAGAACCCAAAAACCTACTTGTGTGTAGGTTTCCTGAGAATCCTATAAGGGGTTTTATAGTAATCACCTGCAAAAAAGTAGGCTGTTTGTTCTTAGGGTATCTCAAAAAGGTCCGAGAGCCCCAGTCAAACCTGAACCCTACGACGTCACTCCGTATCGGTCTCAGCGAGGCCCCTCCCTAAATTTAAAACCTAAACCCTAAACCCTAAACCCTAAACCCTAAACCCTAAACCCTAAACCCTAAACCCCCTTTTCACATGCGCCGCCCGGGTTTGGGGCCGTGCTGAGCTTCTGTCAGTGGCCGCATCACAGGTGGACTTTTGCTCAAAGGAATTGGCCGGCTGTTCTGGTTCAGGTTTAGGGTTTAGGGTTTAGGGTTTAGGGTTTATAGGGTTTAGGGTTCAGGGTTCAGGGTTTTGCTTGGGTTTAGGCTTTAGGACAGAGGGTCTAGAGGGTTTAGTGTTTGTAGGTATCTCGCGGGTGGTGCAACCCCTGAGAGCTGCCAAATCTAGATTGGAGGATGTGTGTCCAGCTTTGCCAGTGATCATGTCCGATGTGCGTCGCCTTCCAGCAACAGACGTGCAACTTCAACCTGACCCTGGGCGGATGCGTGCATCCTTAGTAGCCCAGCAACCATATTATGATTAAGGGCACCCCTTTTTTGGGTTGGGTGTGTTATAAGGGAACCCATGAAGCAACAAAAAGGGTAAAGGGTACCACTGGGCTACCCAGCATCAGAGCTGTGTTGCCCGCATTGTCAGTCAAGTCCTTGTCTGCGCCGCCTTCCACCAGCAAGCGCGCGACCTCAAGGTGGCCCTGGGCCGATGCACGCATCAGAGCAGTGTCGCCAGCTTGGTTCGTCAAGTCCTTCGCCGCGCCGCCTTCCAGCAGAAGGCGCACCACCTCGACATGGCCCTGAGCAGATGCACGCATCAGCGCAGTGTCGCCAACCTCGTTTGTCAAGTCCTTCGCCGCGCCAGCCTCTAACAGCAGGCGCACCACCTCGACGTGACCGTTTTCAGATGCCCCAATCAGAGGTGTCTCGCCAGTATCGTTCGGCAAGTCCTTGGCCGCACCGGCACCCAACAGCACCCGCACGACCTCAACATGACAACTTTCAGATGCTATCATAAGGGCCGTGTCTTCATATCGACCCGTCAAATCCTTGGTTGCGCCGCCCTCCAGCAGAGAGCGGACCACCTCCACGTGCCCGCACACGGATGCGCGAATGAGGGCCGTGTCGTCATTCTCGTCCCGGAGGTCCTTGGTCGCACCAGCTTCTAGCAGCAACTGAACCACCTCAGAGTGCCCATTTGCAGATGCCAGAATGATGGCGGTCTCGCGGTAGCAGTTGGTTAAATCCTTGGCCGCGCCGCGTTGCAGGAGCAAGCGAACGACCTCGGCATGACCGTGGGCAGACGCACACATGAGAGCTGTGTGGCCACTTTCGTCCGTCGAGTCCTTGGCCACGCCGGCTTCCAACAGCACACGTACCACTTCAGCCTCACCAACAGATGCTAATTCGCAGAGCTCTGTGGCAGCTTCTGCGTCTTGGCATGCTGATAAGATCAGCTGCACGTCCATGGGGGCCCCCAAGTTGTCATGCTTGCACAGCCTTCCTGGGTTTGCCTTTAAACTTCCTGAAAAAATACAAAAATGCACATATATATATATATGTATATATATATATAGGGCCCCTTATAAAACCCTAAACCCAACACCCTAAACCCAAAATAAGGAAAACAGGAAAAATGTCCCAAAGTCCAACCCAACCCTCGGCCGTCATGCAGGAGCTGCTGGCTGGACACAGGAATCTGGCACTTCGCCCGAAGCTGATGCTGCAGTGAAATAACATCACTCAGCTCCTGTCTTCTCCACTAACTTTAAAGGGAACAACAAAGGCTACACTTCAAGATTCCTACTGAAGAAGGTTTAGAATTCTCCACTAACCAAAGGAAACAACAAAGGCTAAACTTCCATATTCCTACCGAATGAGGTTTCTTCTCCACTAACCAAAGGGAACAACAAAGGCTAAACTTCAAGATTCCTACTGAATACGGTTTCTTCTCCACTAACCAAAGGGGACAACAAAGGCTAAACTAATCTTCCTACTGAAGAAGGAAGCCCAAAAAGTTTGAAGTTCAGCTATAGGCTAAGCCAGGCTCCTCTGCGGGTATGGCGACCAGCTCATCCCCGGAAACCATCCAAACATGGATCATGGCGGTCGCACGGCCGGCGATCGCCTCGCCATGGCACTTTGCGCTGCTGCACGAAGCTTCACTGCAGTAACAAGAGGGGCGGGGGGAAGGTGATTTAATTTACATTCTTTCTCTCTCTCTCTATATATATATACATATTGTATTTGTATATTATATATATACATATGCATATCGACATATTATATGTAGAGAGAGAGAGAGAGAGTGATGTAGAGGTAATTCAGGATCCTGGATTGGCCCTTTAAGTCTGCTTCACAGCACCACATCTTTAAACTCAAAGCCCAAGGCGAACACACAAGTTCAAGCAAGTCCCTTAGCAGCCAAAACCGAAAGAAGGCTATTTCATATTGCGTTTAGGGTTTAGGGTTTAGGTGTAGGGTGTAGGGTTAGGGCAGTTTGCTGGGTGGCTGGGCGTTGGTTCTGTCTATGAGATGCGAAGACCCCCGACGCCGCGGCAAAAAAAGAAACTACTGACTCCCCCGGAGCACAAGTGATCAAGTGTCAGCAATTGTGAACTTTGTGGTTCAATCTAGAACCCCGTTTGGTCCAACCCCGAAGATTAAAAAAACGGAGCCCTAAAAGCTCATTGGATTGGATGTAAACGCCCCAAGCCCTAAACCCTAAAGCCTAAACCCAACCCAAGTGGGGCATCCTCCTAAGTCTGATCCAACGCGCCAAAACACAAAGTGCCGTCCCGACGCCCCCGAGCCCTAAACCCCATAGGCTCTTTGGCCTCAATAGGGGTTAGGGTTTTGGGTTCGAAAGGGTTTAGGGTTTAGGGTTTAGGGCTAGGGTTTAGGGTTTACACCCTAAACCCTAAATCCTAAACCCCAAGACATAAACCATCCCTCCTGGGGTCCCCCGCGCAAGGGCCTCATGGTCCAAGTGTGCCGGACAGCCTCGCAGAGGCTTGGGGGAGGGGAAGAGTTTCGGGTTTAGGGTTTAAGGTTTAGGGTTTCGGGTTTAGGGTTTAAGGTTTAGGGTCTAGGGTTTGGGTTGTAGAGTTATGGGGATGAAATCACAATGCATTTGTAGTACCGTTGTGTTGGTAGATGGCTTGATACTAGAAATTCTGAGTTGCCAGGATTTACTTGGTTTCAGTCTTGGCAGATCTCAACACATGAATGTGCGCCGAGACGAGTTTTCGGCAGCAGCCGGAAATCCGCTGACAATTGTGAATCCCATGGATGGCGGACCTACTTCTGTGTTCTTACGTACAAGTTGCGACACCTATACTCCTCCATCCGTGATAATTTCGCATACAATCGCCATTTCTGGCCAACACGAAGCGGTACACCGAGGGGGTGCACCGTCCGCGAGCATTCAGAAACCTTGCCGGCATGGTCCTCACACATCTGTGTGCTGCTGGGTTGAAGCATTTGCTTCGGCCAGGGCTTGGGGCCAACAGATCTCGCGCATGAAGCATATGCTGGTGCTTAAAAGCACAATAAACCTTCAGACCGCTACCATTGACGCCTAACCAAAGAACCCTAAACCCGAAACACCAAAACATAACCCTACGAACTGATACCCTAAACCCTACAAACCCTAAGCCCTTAACTTTAGAATAGAATCCTAAACCCGTAGCCCTAACCCTAACTAAAACTCTGATAAATCCAGACCCTACGCCCCAGGCCCCTAATAAAACCCAAAACCCTAAACAAAAAAAACCAAAACCCCCAAACCCCAAAACCCCAAGACACAAAAATCCCAAAAGCCCAAACCCCTCAACCCCGACACCCCAAAAGCCCAAAACATGCAAACCGCTAAACCAATAAACCCGACACCCTAAACCCTGAACCCCAAAATCCCTAAACCCTAAACCCTAAACTACCTGGACCCCAAAACCCCCAAACCCTAAACCGTAAACTACCTGAACCCCAAAACCCCCAAACCCAACACCCAAATTCCAAATCCCGAATCCCTAAACCCTAAACCCTAAACCCTAAACCCTAAACCCTAAACCCCGCACTCTGGGTCTCCTACAGGCGCCACCCGTGTCCTCAAGTCGCAGCTCTGGCTGGGACTCGGTCGGGCGCGCAGTTTGGTTGAGGGTTGTGAGGGTTGAGGGTTGAGGGTTGTGAGGGTTGAGGGTTTGAGGGTTGAGGGTTGAGGGCTTAGGGCTGAGGATTTAGGATTTCGGATTTTAGGGTTTAGGGTTTAGGGTTTAGGCTTCAGGGTTGAGGATTTTAGGGTTTAGGGCTTAGGGCTGAGGATCTTAGGGTTCAGGGTTTCGGGTTTACGGTACAATGGGAATGCTGGCAGTTAGAACTGATAGTTGTATTTCAATATTGCGATTGGTACTTCGAGGGTTTTCCCTGATGGATTGCCTTCGTGCATTCTTTCACTATTGCTACTACTCGTACTCTTCATCTTCATTTTCGTCTTACTTACCTTTATACGGTTACTCTTATGATGATTATTGTGCCGGTCATTCATGCCAGTATCGAAAAAAAGCCAAGGCCCGGGCGGCTGGGCTCATGCCCAGCTGACGGACTTTGAACTTAAATCGGCCTCAAAGAGGGTTTATGGCTTCGGGTCTGGGAGGTAGGGTTTCGTGCTGTAGGGGTTTTCAAGGGGTGGGGGGCCCTGGCGACTGGTAGAGTTTGAGAAAGCTTTAGGGCTTTTGGGGGGCTTTGGGGGAGTTGGGGGGGGGCTTTAGGGCTGAATGGTTATAGGCTGAGCCTGAAGGGCTTGTTTAGGGTTCTAAGGACTTCGGCTGCTGCTGGGGGGTTCGCTATCCCTCAGAAAGAGACGAGGCCTTCGAATTCCTAAACGGCTTTTGGGGGAGCTTGTGGGGCTTCGCTTCATGGTTCATAGGGACTCAGGGCTGCAGGACAGGATTCAAGGTTCAGCGCAGCTGCGGGTGTAGGGGGTCAGTGAGGCTGTCTAATCCCGGAACACGAAAACCTGCATCCCACACACACCTAGAAAAAAACAGGGCTAAGTGGTCATTGTTTCTGGGGTGGAGGGCTGTCGGAGAGATAGAGACAACCCGAGAGAGCGACAAAGAGAGAGAGAACCCTGGCAACACCTGAGACACCCTCAAGCCCTAAACCCTGAACCCATGAGCACCACCCCGCTGGACCCTAAACCCTAAACCCGAAACCCGAAACCCTAAACCCTAAACCCTGAACCCTGAACCCTAAACCCTATAAACCCTGAATCCATGAGAGCGTTGGGTTCTTGGTTCCCGGCCCAGTTTGATGATGTCGCCTTCTGTGAGGTTGTGCCTCACACACCAGGCCGCTCCCACGGCCGGGTCTACTGTAGATTAGGGCTTAAGGTTTAGGGTTAGGGTTTACGGTTTAGAGTTTAGAGTCTACGGGGGTTTAGGGTCCATGTCGGCCTCAACCCTCAAAGCCTAAACAACTGCGCAGGGTCAGGGTCTTTTCATGTTCTCCACGGGGTTGACATCCAGTTTGGAACCTCAAGACGAGTTTCAAGGTTTAGGGCTCAGCGTTTAGGGCGTGTATGGGGTTTGGAGGAGAAGGTAAACCCTAACCCCTAAACCCTAAACCCTTGACCCTGAACCACCTAAAGGGTTTTGGGTTTGGAGTTTGGGGTGCAAGGTTTTCGGTCAGGGTTTGGGGAGTTGTTGCGTGTTGGGTGGAGAGTTATGAGAGTCTAGGGGGTTCAGGTGTAGAGGACCAGTGCTTCGACCTCCCTAAAGCCCTGAAATCCTCAAACCCTAAAACCCATAACCCCCTAAACCCAAAACCCTTTTGAACCCTGCACCCCAACTCTCACCCCTCCCCCAACCCTTGCCCCTCCTAGTGCAACAAATTTCGGGACGGAATGCACCCTAAAAAGGGCTTGAGGTCCAAGAACTTTAATAGGGGGTTATCGTAGTAAAGCGTATATGAAGCAGGGTTTATGTTTCTTGTATCCCGAAAAGGACAACAAGTATATACACTCACCTATATTAACAAGGAACCTTATATACACTCACCAAAAAACAGATGTATAAGCCCTGCTTCAATATGACCCCAATTTTAGGGTTCGTTTCGTCCCCAAGGAATGCCCAGGTGCCCAGAAGGCTGACCATCTCGCACGACTCGCCAAAGCCTGAGCACAGGGCTTCCAGCCGAGGCTCTTATGGTTTTAGAGTCTTGGGGTTTCAGGGTTTCCTAAAATCCTAAACCCTAAACCCTAAACCCTAAGGCTGAGGGATGAGGGCTCAGATTGGGGTCCAGGGCTCAAGATGCGGGATGTTGGGGACTTTGCATAGGCCCTAGCTGGTCCTTGTACGCCCTTAGTAGCCCCGAAAACCGAAATCGAGTCGCCCATGTTCTGCGGGTCTTTTTGGAGGACCCTGAACCCCTAAATCCCTGAACCCTCAACTTAAACTGCCCTAATAGGGCCCGGTAGCCCCACACAACCCTGAGGTCTGCGAATGTACCAAAGACAAAAAACTCGCAAAGGAAATGCCCTATAAGCCATAAACCCTAAACCCTAAAACTGCCCTAAGCCCTAAGCCCTGAGCCCTGAGCCCTGAGCCCTAAGCCCCAAAACCCTAAACCCTAAACCCTAAACCCTCAACCCCCAAAATGCGAAGAAGTCCTAAACCCTAGACACCAAGCCCTAAAAACGTCCCAACAGCCCTGCAACCCCGAACTCTTGAGCTGAACATCTGAACTCGTCTCATGTGCTAGGGGGGAGGCTTCTTCGAAGCAGTGTTTGGCGAAGCCTTGGCGCAAGGGGAGGGAAGCTGTGGGTTTAGGGGTTAGGGTTAGGGTTTTGGGTTTAAACTTAGGGTTTGGAGCGAGTCCTGTCAAGTTTCGTGGAATTGAAGGACCTAGGGTTTAGGTCTCAGGCATAGGGTTTAGGTCCAGGGGTTTTGCGGCTTGTGCCTAGGGAGGTTGTAGAGGTTTGGGCATGTAGAGTTCTAGTGCTTTGAGCGGTTTAGGGCGTTGAGGGATCTAGAGTTTCGATGCTGGATCGCTCCACCCGCAGCAGTAGGGATGTTGAGAATTCGGTAGTTGTTGCAATCCGTTAAGCCACTAGGATGTGCTTTGTCAAGCAGGGAACAAGCGTACAACACCCTCACCCACCCACCCCCCGACCCTCCCTCCACAACAAAAGAAACAGCCACCAGACTAACCCCTACACGCGACTCTGCCTACTATTGGGGCCTTAGAATGAGAGTAGGCTTTGGGGCGGTGCTATAGTATACGAATGAGGGACTCAAGGGAATACTGAACAGATAACTATTCCGACCCCTATCCCCATCAGGACCCGCCGCCTTGTCGACCCAGAAAAGACCATCCTTTTGGATGATTCTCAGCAAGGGGTCGCTGCCCAGAGGCATCGACCTGGGTTTTGGGTTTTGGGTTTAGGTTTACCTCACTGTAAACAGGGAGGGAGGATAGGGTTGAGCTATCTTCTACCAGTAGGGTTTAGGGCCATTAGGGCTGTTCAGTTCTCCACCAACTATAAAACACCAGAACCCTAGACTAAACCTAGGGCTGTTTAGACGTCAGAGTCCTTTCAGGGCACCTTACGGTGTTCAAAAGCCGGTTCTTGTTCTCAGAAATTGTACGTTTAGGGTTCAGGGTTCAGGGTTTAGGTACATCCATCTCCGGATGCTTGGCTGATGCTTCGCAACACGCCTTTCCCTCCCCAAGCCGTAAATCCCTCAACCCCATCTCTTGAACCTTAAACCCAATCGCTGAACCCTAAACCCTAAACCCTAAACCCTAAACCCTAAACCCTAAACCCTAAACCCCAAACCCCAAACCCTAAACCCTAAACTCAAAAACCCTCAGCCCTATGGCCGAGGCCCCGGCGCATTCTCTCTCATCATCATTACTTCGGTACCATTTCGTACGCAAACCTGGGAGCTGACCGGGGTCGGGAAGGAGGGCTTAGGGTTTAGGTCTAGGATTTAGGGTTTAGGCTTCAGGGTTCAGGGTTTACGGTTTAGGGTTTAGGGTTTAGGGATTAGGGAAGGAGGGCGAAGGTTTAGGGTGGAGCGTGTGAGGTTCATGGTTTCGGGTTTAGGGATTCTTTTCAGCTTCTTTGGCAAAAGGCAACCACACAAACATCCAATACAAAAACGCGCAAGGAAACCTAACATAAATCATAGTCGCGCATGCGTGTTACCCTTGCTGCACCCCAAAATTAAACCCCAAACCCTAACCCTAACCCCCAGGCCCTAACCCTAAACCCTAAATCCTAAACCCCAAACCCTAAACCCTAAACCCCAAACCCCTCAGCATCTTTACATTCTGCTGATTGTCATTCTCAGCTCCACCAAGCGGCCATCGACTGGAGCACAGTGAAGGTCTTGGTGTAGAGGTGGTGGGCCTGCCACGGTTTAGGGTTTAGGGTTTAGGGTTTAGGGTTTAGGGTTTAGGGTTAAGGGTTTAGGGAATCTTTCTAAGGGTCATGACATGGCCCCTGCATGTGGTCCCTTACCTTCGCATACTAAGGGCTCATGCAACTACCGAAAGGAATCTTGGGAGTTTTGGGCTGAGGGTTTAGGGGTTCCCGAGAGTGCCCAACATCTCACGTCAGGGTTCATTTTACTAGAACCAGTGCAAAAAAGAAGCTCTGAAAACACGTGGATAAAAATACATATGTATATATATGCATATATTGTGTACATATGAGATTGGTAGGCATTGAGACTCCTCTGTGGGTGTGGGCGTGCGTGTGCCTTCTCGGTCAGTGTTTTGCCGAAACAGGGTTTGAGTCACGCCGAGAAACTCCAAACCCCAAACCCCAAACCCTGAACCCTAAACCCCAAACCACCTCATCAAAAGAACCGAAATCAGAACCAATGACCCCTAGAGACCAACCCCCCCCCCCCCCCCCCCCCCCCACCAACTCCCTCCCTCCCTTTCAAACAACTATAACAAACCCTAAAACCCCCAAAAGGAGAAAATCAGGACGTAATATAGGGCCTTAAAAAAAAAATCAGGACCCCATACAGGGGCCTTAATAACAAGAATAGGGTTTTGGGGGGGTTACTATAAAAGGGACCATCAGGGCAAATTTTTCCGACCCCTATAGTACTCAGCCCTCGTGTCGCAGTCCGTCCTCGAAGTCGAACAGGTCATGGGAGTCTCTGGCCCACGTGCTCGACACCACCTTCCCACATTAGGGTTTTGTAGGGGTTTAGGGTTTAGGGTTTAGGGTTAGGGCCCTCCACTGACGAAAACCTGGACCCCCACGAAGTATGTGAAAACTGGCCCGAAACCCATAAAAAGGAATATGTACAACGTTTTTTTTTTTTTTTTTTTTTTTTTTTTTTTTTTTTTTTGGGGGGGGGGGGGGGGGTTGAGGCCTAAAGAAGAAGACGAAGAAGAAACAACGGAGATACTTGCAACGACATGTATACTGCGCGCGTGAACGAGCCAAACATACACACAGAAGGTATATGATACAAGGCATTGAACATCAACATACAGGTGTTTGGGAGCTGTGGTTTTCAAGTGTCAGCGCCCGGAGACCCCCCCCCCCCATGCACTCAAAGGGGTTCTTTTCGGGTCTGGATGTGATGACACCTAACCTAGAAGCCTAATTACCCTAGTTGTCCAGTAACTTGGGGGAATTGAAGGTTAACCTTTGGGATTTTAAGGGGATTATAGTACCCCAAAAAGGTTAAAGGTTACCTACTCTACTACTAGGTTTCCCGTAACTTGAAGCTACCCATTGACAGGGCTAGCCTAGTCAGTTTGAGGTTGACGTATCGAGTCCAGCCTAAACCCCGTGCATTACATTTTCGGGATCGAGAAGATCGGTAAAAAAAGTCCACATCAGATGACATCGGGCGAAACCACGCAAGGCTTCCCCGGGGCTCAAGCGTTGAGGGCTTGGAGCCTGACTTGTTTAGGGCTTAGGGTTGAGGGTTGAGGGTTTAGGGACAAGGGAGGGTTCAGAATCTAGCTTTCTGAGCTTGGGAGTCTTAGGGGATTTGGGTCTGGGGGTTGCGGCTCCCTTGTACTGCGTCGCCTCTGTGGCATCTGACCAACGTGATTTACGGGGGGTGGGCAGAGCTAACGCGCGCAAGGCCAATATAGCGCGCTCTAATTGTAGCATCCGAGAAGCTTCGACATGATCCCCTATAACAGCTCTGGCTTCAAAACATCTCACTTGAGATGTAGTCCTTAATAAGGGACGCTTATTGTACTCCCAACTATCATCCCTACAAAGGACTGTTAGTCTCGAAGGAAGAGCATCCCAACATCTCACGCAAGAAGCCCTACACCCTGAACCCTAAACCCTAAACCCTAAAAACCCAAAAAACCCAAAAGGGGAATGACGCCCACCTTTGGGTCCTAGTCATGGCCCATCACCGCAGAACTTCTGAATGGCCCCCACATGGGGCTTTACAATAATGAAGGTACCTTTTGGGGGTCCTTTTTACAAAGGGGGTTTAGGGTGTAAGAATGAAGGTACCTTATTGGGGTCCTTTTTACAGAAGGGGGTTTAGGGTTTAGGGAGTTTGGGGTTTAAGAATGAAGGTACCTTTTTGGGGGTCCTTTTTACAAAGGGGTTTAGGGTTTAGGGAGTTTAGGGTTTAAGGAGACTTAAAGGGGGCTTGCCGAAATTTGGGGTACCTTCTTGGGGTCCTTATTTCAAGGGGGGTTTTTAGGGAGGGAGGTTCAAGAATACTCCCCACTACTCCCTAAGGCTCCCTAAGGTTCCCTAAGGTTCCCTAGGTACCCTAAACCCTAAACCCTAAACCCTAAACCCTAAATTGCCCTTGAACCTCCCCCCCTTAAGAACCATACTCGTAAACTCCCCCAAATGTGAACGTCATGGCTGGGCCTACAGGACCACACTGGGTCTGCGCATATTGTCTAGTTCCTGGGTTGGCCAACAAAAGGCTTTGAAGGCTTTGGAACATATCTTACTTCTGCATAGATAGGGCCCCTACTTTAAACCACAAAAAAGGGAAAACAAAAACAGAACATCCCAAACCAACCTATGCTCGGAGCCATAGGGTTCAGTGGGGTTAGGGAATGTGAGGCCTCTAGCTCACTGAACGCACACCGGCGCCTGAACTGCGTGCGCAGGTTGAAAAGATAACGGCGGTGGTGCCAGCGGAAGCGCCATCTGGCACAAAGCTTGGCTGCACTCAGGAGGGTAGCTAAAAATTAAACTTTTAGCTGCCTTATTAAGAAACCCAATTAACCCAAAAAGGGTAAGGATCTAAAGTTACAGTAAAGTACCACAAAGGAAGATGCGCGAGGGCTTAGGCAAACTTCGGATTCGGCGGCCAAGTCGGGTTCACCCACGTCCCTAAACTCAACTCAAGGCGAATACGTTCCCTTCGAAGGCTCAAGAAGACTTTCAGGGTTTAGGGTTTAGGGTTTAGGGTTTTAGGGTTTAGGGTTTAGGGTTTAGGAATTAGGGTATAGGGTTTAGGGTTTAGGGTTTAGGGTTTAGTCCTATACATGAGGGTCCGTTTTCTGGACCCAAGAGTAACCGAGAAAGGGTGCCCCTTGTTGGTTTAAAGGGGCTTAATATGGGAACCGAAGCCCCCAAAAAGGGAATAAAGGGCCTACTCCGGTCCTAGTTCTACCTCTAGTAATGGACCCCAGAACATGGACCCTGATTTAGAGCGCTACCCTTAAGATCCCCCCCCTAAGCCTCACTGAACCCAAACCCTTGAGTATTCGTAGACATAAACCGAGGCCCAAATTCCGTCCCCCCAAACCTGAAAAGCAAAGTCCCGAAATACTCGATGCCCGAGAAGCCTAGCCCTCTCCCTCTCTCTCTCTCTCTCTCTCTCTCTCTCTCTCTCTCTCTCTAAACCCTAGACCCTAAACCCTAAACCCTAAACCCTGAACCCTAAACCCCAAACCCCAACCCCTAACCTTTCGTAAACACCGCCCCATGTCCCAAGGCGCTGCCTGATCTGAGCCCGCGGAACGATCCATCTCTGACCTCGCGCAAGAATCCAAGAGTTCTTAAGGCAAGAGGGTTCAGGGTTTAGGGTTAGGGTTTTGGGGTTTGGGGTTTGGGGTTTGGGGTTTGGGGGTTTGGGGTTTGGGGTTTGGGGTTCGGGGTTTGGGGTTTGGGGTTTGGGGTTTGGGGGGGGGTGGGGGGGTTCAAGGGGGGTATGTAACTCAAGGTTCCCAGAACCCCCTAAAGAAGAATCCCTAGAAGCCCCCAACCTTGAAACCGTCAAACCCTAGGGTTTAGGGTTTAGGCTATAGGGTTTAGGGTTTAGGGTTTAGGGGTTTCAAAAAAAAAGTCTTGGTGAGACCCGCAGTCGGCTGCTGCTGCGCAGCAGGGCCAGCGCAACGCTCCAAATCAGGGCTTAGGGATAAGCGGATTCCAGGCCCTGGGCACTAAACCCAAACCCCTAAATCGAGGTGCTATGCTTGGAGGCCCCACGTCTCCAAAAAAGGGCTTAGGGCTTAGGATTTAGGAGTGGGGCATCATAGGGGCCAAATGAGTTAGATTGGGTGGTTTGGGCAGCTTTCTTTGGTTTAGCCTTTGGGTTTTGCAGTTGTTACGGGGGAATGTGAGCAAATTGGGCTCCTGTATCACTTTGTATATAGGGCCTGGACGACCTCTGGAAAAAAGCTGTACGAATGCCCAGCCCCAGACCCTAAATTCAAACGGATACAAGGAGGGACTCCTAGAAAGGGCCTTTCATCTTATTCGCCTATGTTACTTCGTATGTGTAGTCCCGATAGACCTAAGCAGCCCTAAAGTTAAGGGCTTGGGGTTTGGGGATGAAGGGTTAGACTCCTGGAGCCTGCAGCGTGGAGCATCCTCCAAAGCTAAACCCTAAACCCTAAACCCTAAACCCTAAGCCCTAAACCCTAAACCCTAAGCCCTAAAACCTAAACCCTAAACCCTAGACTACCCAGCCCGGCCTGAAAATGCCAGAAGCAAAGAGCCGGAGAAGCACAGATCAGCGCTGGACCTAACAAAAGCGCCTGTCTCGGAGAAGGTTTTGATTTTGGAGATTGCCACGGCTGGGTAGTGTGATGTGATTACTCTCTGAGTTGTGTGCCGAGGATCTTAAAAACAACGCTGCGGGAATAAGAAACAGCTTAAAACATTGCCGCCTTGTCTGAGTGTGGCGAGTATTCGGCTTCCATGTGCCTGCTGCCTTTGTCTAAAGGCTATGCCTGCGCCACCTCAAACCCCAAACTCCAAATGCCTAACCTCATGCCAACACTCCAAAAACGTAGCACACGCGCCGGCAGGGCAGCTTGAACAAGCGGCAGGCCACGTGTTCTCAGTGATGCCGCTGTATGGTGAAAGCAGTATATTCTCCAGCAAGCAGAACCATTCTATGTTGTGGAACTGTAGTAGCAAGTAAGCAAATGCAGTAGACTAGTACGCCGCAGCAAGCGAACCAATTCATTCTATGCAGTCGAGTACTCCAAGAATTGAGCCAATCACATGCTTGTAGTAGACTCGTAGTGCACGGCCCAAGAAGCAAGGCAACAACTCATGTGCTATTGCAGCACAGGCACGACACATAATATATATGTATATATGTATATGTGTACACACACACCCTAAACCCGAAAGCCTAAACCCGAAACCCTAAACCCTATGTATGCATACATACATACATACATACATACATACATATACATATATACACATGCATATATGTGTATAATATAAAATATAATATAAATATACACACATAAAGACCACTAGTAAGTTAGAACAAGCACCGACCGATGTACAAAGGCTCAGCATTTAGGGCACCAATCCGGGAGCCCATGAAGCTGCAAAGTGGGACCCCAACCGGCTCAACCGCCAAGCCATACCCAGGGGTTTAGGGTTTAGGGTTTATAGGGTTTAGGGTTGAGGGTTTAGGGTTTAGGGTTTACCCACAGGCTCCAATATAGCACCTTTTTGGGGTAGTATACTAGAATCTTCTACAACTAACCCAAAAAGGAACTACATTGGAGCCTTTGGGTAGGGTTTGGGGTCCGGGTTGAGGGTTCAGGGTTTAGGGCTTGAGCGAACCACGTCCGAAACCCTCGACAGCACCCCCTTCCCCTGCCCCTCCCCTCCTCCCTTTTTACATATATATATATATACATATATATATATATATGCAGAACCCGAAGCATCAAACCTCCACTGGTGTGACTTGAAGACGCATCGCTAAACAGCAGAATCCTCGCGAACGCAATGCCATTGCCCTGGAGAAGAAGAAGAAGAAACCCTTGGACCTGAAAGCCATCAAAGGTCCAATGGATATCACACAGCCGCGCAGAGCCAGGATTGGTACGTACTCCAGCAGTTCGCTTTCCGCGGCCATGCTGCCGAGGCAACTCTTTAGGGCTTAGGGCTTAGGGCTTAGGGTTTAGGGTTTAGGGTTTAGGGTTTAGGGTTTAGGGTTTAGGGTTTAGGGTTTAGGGCCACAGTCACGTAGCTGGCTGCTCACATTTCTCGTTGATGAAGTTGGAGACGGCAACATGAGTCATGATGTGGATTCCTTGGCTGACTTCTGAAGCCCTCCTTACAATAACTTTGAGGCTCCTCAAATTGTAGTTTCTCCAAAAACCCACAAGGTTAAAGTCCTAAACCCTAAACCCTAAACCCTAAACCCTAAACCCTAAACCCTAAACCCTAAACCCTAAACCCTAAAGGGCAAAGGGTACCACTGGCCTACCAAGATTCCCTCTGCGAGGAACACGAAGATCATGCCCCGGTCAAAAGACAAGTAGAATCCTGGGTTGGAGCCTGGGGCCTTACTTTAATTTGGGGCTTAGGGTTTAGGGTTTAGGGTTTAGGGTTTAAACTCTCTGAAAAAATCCGGGTTTAGGGTTCAGGGTTGGGGGTATAAGGCATCAGGCCCCTCGATACACTTCTCTTTCAAGAAGGGGCAAACAGGGAAAACAAACATAAAAACAAATTCAAAGGGCCTGCCTAGAATCCGGCACCTGCCAGGCTGGCCAAGGTCGTGATCATGCTCACCACGCTCCCAACAATGAAGACGTCAAGCATAGATAAGAACCTCGCTTGGCACGTAACTTGAAGCTGATCCTCCTGAACCCTGAAAGGGGGGGGGGGGGGCGGGGCGGGAGGGGGGGGGGGGAGGCAAACAAAAAAGGGCTGCCCAGGAACTGGTAGAGATGAGCAAACTTGACGAACTTCAGAGCTCGTGCCCAGCGCTCTTTCTTTACATCCTTCTCTTGGTCAACACTTCGTGAGACGTGGTAGCTCGCAATGGTGAGTGCAAACATATCCAGGCATGTGAAGCCAAGTGTGAAGATGACTATGAGCAAGGTACACATCACTGCAGAGACATCCAAAGATTCCAGACGCGTCAGTGCCTTGCCCATGATCCGGCCCATGCCACTGGCTCCGCCGGTCTCCGGGACGCCAAGGGCTTTGAAGGACTCTTCGTATGGGCCCATCAGCCAGTACTTCGGCTTGTAAGTCATGGAAAAGAGGTTCATGCACAAGGCTAGGCTCAAAGCGATGAGAAAGACCAGCAGTAGGCCCAGAGTCACTGGTAGCATGTGCCTCTCTCCAAAGAGCCAGAAAAAAGTCGGAGTCGTCGCCTCCTTTTTCTCGGGCTTGGGTGTCACTGCCGCTGCATCCGCTGCAGGGGTCGTCTCACTAGTCCTTGGTAGCCCAGTAGCCATATTATAATCAGGGCACCCTCGTTAAAAGAGGGTTGGCTACTTTCTAAGGGAGCCTTGAACTAAAAAAAAACAAAAGGGAAATCAGGGTACCACAGGGCTGCCAGGAGACTCGTCGACCTCTTGGAGGTCGTCGATCGTTGAACCGGGAATGAGGCTACGCACATCCTTCGGGGCGACACGAGCCCAAAAAACGGGTTTCAGGTCCATAAACCTTCACGAGCCCTAAGAGGGCTTGATTAAGGGCCATATACCTTCATGGGGGTTATGGTAGCATAGGGTCTACCTGCCCACTCTTAGGGTTCATTTAGTTCCCAAGGATCATCTGGAATTGCGACAGACGCCAGGAGGGTGCCGATGCTGAAGACCAAGTACCTTACTTCTCCAATAACCAAACTGAAAAGAAGGTTAAACTTTCATACTGCTACGAAATAAGGAAACCCAAACAGTTCAAAGTTCAAATAACAACGAAATCGAGGGTACAGGGCGAAGCCCTTGTTGAGAATTGGCCGAGAATGCACCTCCGGCTCATGACCTGGGTAGCCCAGCAACCATGTTCTGGTAAGGGTACCCTTTTTGGGGCGGGTTGGCTAAACCCTAAACCCTAAACCCTAAACCCTAAACCCTAAACCCTAAACCCTAAACCCTAAGCTGCAAAAGGGAACCCTTGAACCCCCCCCCCCCCCCAAAAAAAAAAAAAAAAAAAACATAAATAAATAAAGGGGTACCACTGTGGTAGCAAGTGTCTGACCATGCCAAAAAGCTCCAGCAACACCACATACGCAAAGAGCTTCGGGGAGTCCCACTTGGAAACGAACCTGGGGGGTTTAGGGTTTAGGGTTTGGGGTCTAGGGTTTAGGGTTTAGGGTTTTGGGTCTAGGGGGGTACCTTATCTTGGGGTCCTCATTACAAGGGGATCCTACTATTTTGGGGAGGTCTTTACTAGGGGCTCCCTTGTTATCGTATAACCCCCCACCTGAGCCAACTGACATTGTAGCGCAAGGAGGCGGTGGTTTCTGCGGTCCTTTTGGAGAACTCCTTCAACTTCAGAATCTTGGCGAAGAGTACCTCGGATGGCCCCCTTAAGACCGGTTTAGGGTTTAGGGTTTAGGGTTTAGGGTTTCGGGTTTAGGGTTTCGGGTTTAGGGTTGCCAAATAAGGAGAAACAAAAAGTGGTCCCAAAAGCGCCTACCTAGGCGCGAACTTGATGGCCGGCACGACGAGTCCATAAAAGCCGACTAAGAAGGATGCCGGGCCTGGGAAGAGCAGCTTGATGATTCCCCACCTTAGTGGCCCAACAGTAGACCCTGGTTTAGGGTTTAGGGTTTAGGGTTTAGGGGTTTAGTATACCGCCCAAAAAGTTATTAAAGTCCACTAAGCCACATGGACTCGTTGAGCACGTCGCCCGGGTAGTTCATGAACGTGGCAAATGCAGGAAGAGTCAGGCCGGACTTGGGGTCGGTGACATGAACATCTACGGTGATGACCGGGTAGATGATGCCTAGTCTGATCTTCAGGAAGCCCTACCAAGATATAGTACCGAAAGAATTAGAATTGTAGAGGTTTCTTCGAAAATAGAATATCCAAAAACAAAAAAAGTATTCCTTAAACAATTCTGAGATTCCTGGGAACATCAAGATGTAGGACGACACCACCATGGTGACCACCCATCGTGGAATCCGCTGGCCTTTGTTCGGGGGCAGGAGCAGGTCCCAGAGCTTCCCTAAGAACGTGCATGCCAGCACGATGCCGAGCGCGCCGAAAAACCACCTCGCTATTTCCTTCTTGCTGTCGATGTGGAAGCCCTCCGGAACCTTGGTAAGCATGGCCCATGCCTGCCGATAGAGGTCGGGAGGAATCTTCGTAAGATCCGGAAGCACTTGCGTCCTTTGTAGTCCCAGCGCGTGCCTCACGGCAGAGCTGCCATGCAGCATAACAGTCCTGCTATGCGCGAAGTCGTATGGAGGGTTCGATGCCGGTTGGGGTTACTGGCTGGAGCCGAGATGGCTGTGTTTTCATTGCCCATGTCAGAAAAAGCCCAACAAAATCCTTAAGGTTCACACTAGGCGCCCAGCAAGTGTATGGTGGGGTTTAGGGTATGAGTCTATACTCCCCTTAGAACCTTAAGCAAAAATATCCTCTTGGGTTTTAGATAAACAAAAAAACAATCCCCAAGGGGGATATAGTAGACCCTAAACCCTAAACCCTGAACCCTAAACCCTAAACCCTAGTAGTTGTATGATCAGCCGGTAAGGGCTTGGGGTGCTGCGGGAATCCGATGTGCAGTGAAAGCAAGGTGCCCGCAACAGGTGCGAGAAGTTCGTTCTGGCCTGAACCCTAAACCCTAAACCCTAAACCCCAACCCTAAACCCTAAACCCTAAACCCTAAACCGCAAGGCACATTTTCTCACAGACCGCTCGGACTAGGTGGCCCCAGAGGCCCGCTCAGACTAGGTCGGCCTCAGAGACCCCCATATCCCCCAAATTAAGGATGATTGGGTTTAGGGTTTAGGGTTTAGGGTTTAGGGTTTAGGGTTTAGGGTTTATAAGAGTTTAGGGTTTAGGGTTTAGGGTTTAGGGTTTAGGCTTGAGGGTTTAGGGTTTCTATAGGGTTTATATAGGGTTTAGGGTTTAGGTTTCCTTCAATTATCAAGGGGAGCCTCGTATGATCCAAGGTCTGGCCTCGGGACCAAATGAACCCTACAAATTGGGGTCGTAGACCCTATACTACTACAACCCCTACGAAAAGGATTTCCCTAACTCAGGGATATTGGAGTCTAGGGGTCCCACTGTGAGCCTGCATGTGAGGTCTGCTCTCGCCGCATTAGCGATACAGCTGCTACGCTGGCCTTTGCTTTGGGTTCAGGGGTTAATATCTTGGTCGCTTCTCGAAAACAAGGTCCCTTCTGGGGAGATCCTGACCAGAAGGCGACCCCTAGTATTTAGGGTACCCAAAAAGGGGCCATAATTCTGAGAACTGACCATGTAGACCTCCCTAAACCTTATAAACCCCCTACAGCCCTAAACCCTAAACTTTATGAACCCCTAAGCCCTTTTGGAACACGTCGAACCCTGCCAGCGCGCCGTGGTCGTCCCTAGGCGCTCACTTCTTCTTTCGGGCCAAGTTGGCCAACTCCTGGAATTCATGTGGTTTGGGTTGACGGTCAAGGGTTTAGGGCTTAGGGTTCGGGGACGAAAATAAGGGGCCCCTGCTATAAACCCCCAAGTAGTAGGATTCCCTGAAAAAAAAGAAACCCCAACAAGGTATCCACTAATTTCGGAAACCCCCGTGTGCGTGGTGCCGGGGGGGGGGGGGGGAGGTTCAATTGTGCGAGTGGGCTTGGGGATTTTGGGGTTTAGGGTTTAGGGTGTAAGGAAGCCGAAACCCTAAACAACCCTTAAACCGTCTTGAAAGGTTCACGAGTCCAATCCCACCTAAACCCTAAACCCTAAACCCTTAAACCCTAAAACCCTAAAACCCTAAAACCCTAAAACCCTAAAACCCTAAAACCCTAAAACCCTAAAACCCTAAAACCCTAAAACCCTAAAACCCTAAAACCCTAAAACCCTAAAACCCTAAAACCTAAAACCCTAAAACCCTAAAACCCTAAAACCCTAAAACCCTAAAACACTAAAACCCTAAAACCCTAAAACCCTAAAACCCTAAAACCCTAAAACCCTAAAACCCTAAAACCCTAAAACCCTAAAACCCTAAAACCCTAAAACCCTAAAACCCTAAAACCCTAAACCCGAAACCCTGCCTCTTGCTGACGCGCCAGCTTCACGCGCTCCTTCTGGATATTTGGGTCCTGTCTGCCGGGTGTGCGCAAAGGCAACTCTGGGCCGCAGAGCTGGAGAGCTGGTGCGAAGAGGGTGTAGGGTTTCGGGTTTAGGGCTTGGGGTTTAGGGCTTAGGGCTTAGGGTTTAGGGTTTCGGGCTTAGGGCTTGGGGTGTAGGGTTTAGGGTTGGGGGACGTTCGTGCTTGGGGGTCTGGGGTGGAGCGTGAGGGGGGGGCGAGGAGGGGGGGGATGGAGGAATGGCGGAAGTGAGGAAGTGTCATGTTTTGAATGCGCACAGGGACATGGCATCGACATGGTTGCTGGGTTTTTTTCGCGCGATGGCGGCCGCTTCTCTGGAAGTTTCCTAAATTTACAGGGTTCTTAAGTAGGGGGGTTCAAGGGGGGTAGGTGCCTAGGGAACCTTAGGGAAGCTACATACCCCCCTTTGAAACTTAACCTTGTAATACATACATATGAAGTAGGGTATATATTTCTTGTACCCGCAAAAGGACACCAGGTATATACACTCACCAATATTAAAAAGGAACCTTATATACACTCACCAAAGAAAGAAATATATACCTAGGGTTTAGGGTTTAGGGTTTAGGGTTTAGGGTTTAGGGTCTGCTTCATATAATCCCCTTAAACCCACTAAGACAAAATATGAGATATCCCAGCGGCCTGCCGAGTAGATGGAGCTAAAGGTGCCGTCTACACAGCTGACCAAACAGCCCCCCCCCCCCCCCCCCCTAGGGTTTAGGGTTTAGGGTTTAGGGTTTAGGGTTTAGGTTTTAGGGGGTTCAGGGTTTTAGGGTTCCCCTACGACCCCCTCTATACAACCCCTCTAGGTCCCCCCCCCCGCCCCCCCCCCCCAAAAAAAAAAAGAACACAAAAAGGCCTTAGGGTTGTAGGGGTTAGGGTTTAGGGGTAGTATGGGGGGGGGGGGGGGGGGTTCTAAGGGCCCTAGAAGGGAGGCCCCGAAATACCAACAACAGAAACCTTAAAACCTCCGACTTCAAACACCCCCCCCTTCAACCCCCCTCTCTTAAGAACGCTGAAAGTCCCCTGAAGCCAGAACCCTAAACCTGAACCCTGAACCCCTACACCCTAAACCCTAAGCCCCTAACCCCTAAACCCTAAACCCTAAACCCCTAAAACCCCAAACCCCTATACCCAGGGGCCTGCTTGATCTTCAGCTTCTTGAACTTTTGCAGCTTCTTGGAGTCTTGCGGAATGCAGTAGCTCAGCTTTCTCCTGGGTCAAAACGTTCGCTGGGGTTTCGGGCTTGCTCAACAAGGTTTCTAAGTTTAGGGTTTAGGGTTTAGGGTTTAGGGTTGTTTAGGGTTTAGGGTTTAGGGTTTAGGGTTCAGAAGGGTTCACGGTTTCGGGTCTGGGGCCTGGGCGCTGTTTAGTTTAGGGGCTTCTGCACTGCGCACTGCCCTCATACCCGCTCCCAGCGTTTTTGTGTTAGTTTCAAGTCTGCCCACCAAGTGGCCGAATGAAACTCAGCCCTAAATCCTACGCTGACAGGGTTCTTAAGGGAGGGAGGTTCAAGGGGGTATGTAACCCAAGGTTCCCTACTACTCCCTAAGGCTCCCTAAGCTTCGCTAGGTGAACTCCCCCCCCCCCTCCTTAAGAACCCTAAACCCTAAACCCTAAACCCTAAACCCCAAAACCAGCTGAGCCCAGGACAGGAGGGAGGCACCATTCTTCTCCGAGTCGAGCCCCTTGTCCTGCAGGCACCCCTAAACCCTAAACCCTAAACCCTAAACCCTAAACCCTAAACCCTAAACCCTAAACCCTATTCACGACGAGCTACTGAACTGATAAGGTCCAGTAGCTGGATTTTTCTCACCAAAACCCTAAGAGTCCATCCACCCCTCTGTCGCAAAAGGTTTAGGGTTCAGGGGTTTAGGGTTCTAGGGGTTACTTGGAGGTTCATGGTACTTACTAACCAATTATAACTGGGCTTATAACCCTACTTATAATTGGGATAACCCCAATAAGGCCCTCTAGGGGTATTATAAGTAGGGATATAAGTACAGTTATAAGTGGTTAGTAAGTACCATGAACCTTCAAGTAGGGGTTTACGGGTTAGGGGCTCGGGCTACGGGTTCATGGGGTTTAGGGCTTACCCCAAGGCTCCTTTGTAGTTCCTTTTGGGTCTCCCGGAGGAGCGTCCAAGAATTTTAGGTCAGACCAAAAATTATTATACATAGAAATTAGGGCATTTAGGGGGGCCATGCATGAAGAGTCGGCTCACACTCAGAAGCCACTGAAGTATGGGCAAACAGCCCACCACAGATCTATAACCACCTATCTCTCATGAAGCCTTGAAATTACTCCCACTACCACATCTTTACCCGACCTAAACGTTTCGAAGCTTCTGAGTCAAGACTTCGAAGATTGAAATCCTCACACCCTGTATGCCCTTGGCTCCATGCCTCGCGACGGCCAGTGATGAGAAGGATGTGGAGGCAGGACACCCATGGTTGGGGGGGGGGGGGGGGGGGGGGGGGGGAGGAGTTTGTCCGAAAGGTCTTATACTTTATCGGGCGACGGGCTTTTTATACTTATCGGGTGAAGGCCTTTTTTGCTGGTTCCACGGTGAGTTTGCACATTCGTAGCAGAGCATCCAGCCGAAAGAGCCCTCGAACTTCTCGAACAGCTTGAACCCACAGCACCCATCTATCTATACACGATCACAAAGTCTTGTGGTCGAGGGCCCAAACATGGGCTGCCTAATTTTCTTAATTTCAGCTGTCCCGAAGCAGCCTTTTCTCATTCCGTGCAGATTCTTTGAGCCACTCTCTCCGGGCCCGTACAAGATACTTCTCCAGGTTGCGTTTGGCAACATTTGCCGGATGAACATTCAGCGACATCTTACAAAGAGCTCCCACATAATCTTCGGCCATCTGTGTAGACCACACAGAGGGGTTCAATATAGATGAGCCCCGCTCCAAAGCTTGATGAAGCTCAACAGCCACATGCGCCAGGAAGTGGACCTTTGGCACGATGTTGAAGAAGCTCAGGCGCCTGTCACCAGCCGGGGCGGGGGTGGGGCGGGTGCTGGGTAGGGGGTATATAGAGAAATGTAAAAAGTTAGCCTTGCGTTTTTGTCCACTATTGTAACGCAAATAGTACATTGCATAATA